CATGTGTAACCTAAAATTTCTACTCCCCAAATACATTGCACTTTGCAGTTCACACTTGGTTTCACTGTTTGGCTTCCAAGCAAGTGGCTATGAAGAATGACGGAATCGTTTAACCCAAGCTGATCTTCCATCTTCACAGCAATGTGCTCAGGTTTATTTCAAATCCACTGTTTAAACTCAGCTATATGTGGTACCTCCAGTCTGTGCAAAATGAGCCCAAATGGTTCCAAACCAAACTGTTAGGAACACTTTGGAAGTGAATATGTGTAGCTGAGTGGGCCTGTGTCCAGAGCTGCCTCAATAATGGGAATTCTCCAAATTAACTTCCACGTAGAATATAATGTTTATTAAAGGGTAAATGATAATGTGCTAATTGAAGTATAAGGATCTTGAGATAGACAAACTAAACCATTATTCTATAATTGTTTAGAACTTAGACCACTGGGGGATTTTGCCTGGGAGAAGTGTTTTAACACTGACACTGTTTACAGTTGACAGGGTCTGGTGGTAATGAAAAACACGCTGACTTATTTGTGTGGGGTATTTTTCGTTTTAATGTTTTTATTGATATGAAAGAGAGAGGAAGGAAGACAGGGGGGAGAGAGAGAGAGATTGATTGGCTGCCTCCCATACGCACCCCAACTGGGAATCAAACCTACAACTGGGTATGTGCCCTGACCAAATCAAACTGGCAAACTTTTGATTTGGTGCATGGGATAACACTCAACCAACTGAGACATACTGGCTAGGTGTTGTTTGGTTTTACTTTTAGATTTAGACTTTTTACAGGCTCTGGCTCTGGCCCTGGCCCTGGCTCTAGAACCAGCTCTGCTGGGCTGCCTTCTTGCAGTTTCACCTCCTGGGAGTAGTTGCACATGTGTGAGATGACAATGCCCATGGACTTGTGTCAAGGGGTCTTTTTACCTTGTAGGGAGTGGGCTGAGGGGAGAGGATGGGGTAGGCTGAAGAAGTGGTGCCAGGTGAGTGCAGGGTAGGAGTTGTGGGGTGGAGTATGAAATGATAATAAAGAGGAAGAGTTTGGACAGGGTCGTCTGATTTGGATTTAGAAGTGGTCCTTTCTGCCTGCTCCCAAACCTTTTGCCCCGTCTCAGTGCCTCGTGGTCCTTCCCTCAAGTATCCCAGTTGTTTCTCTGCTTTCCTTTGACCTTCCCTGTCTCCAGTTCTGCCCTCCCCCAAGACAAAAATCCACCAAGATAAAATGAAATTTGACAGGTCAGCAAAGTCCATACCCTCAACTAGTGGTGGTGTTGGACATACTCACATGGCATCACATCCAGGTAATCTGCGGAGAATGACCGGCTGCTCCCAGAGGAGATTCTTCCTGCCCACTCGGGGACTGCTTGAGCGTTAGTATGTCCCTTTGGTGGAGGATGCAGTGGTGCCCTTGGGAGCCATGCATGTTATAGCTTCCTAGAAAGTCAGGCTTAAACTCTGACTCAGCTCCCTAGTTTATTAGGCTTAATGTCTGATTTCATTTGCTCCCTTCCTTAACTAGCCACCTACGCTAACAACTTCACATGTGAAAAAGAATTGGCAGGTTCAACCGACTGTAAACTGTGTAACTCAACAGAGTTAAAGCTGCAAAAATCTCAAATTTAATCTTAGTCTTTTTAATGGGATGATAAAATGGAACTCTTAAGTCTCAAATTTGGCTGAGGTAGCACTGACGGCAGAGAAAAAATATAGCAAATCCTCCCGTCCATGCCAAAGAAATTAGTGCTGGTGTTCAGGACTTACAAAGGAGGGAGCTGGTGACTATTTTGAGAGACTTGGCTCATCCCTGACTTCAATGAGGTAAGACATTGAAGAGAAGATGATTGGATAAAACGTTTTCTTTGGAGAGGGTTATTGGGAGGGCTAAGGAGGTTAGTTTTATTATTTTGAACAGTATCATAACAGAGCCAAGAGTATTCTTGGGTCTCAAAGGGAGTAAAGGACTGATTATCTAAGAGTAACCAAGATTATGGAAGCCGCTTGTGATTTCATCCACAGGACGGAGGAGATAGGATTCTGCAGATGTCTATTAAGGGACCATGAAGGTTTTACCTTCGTTAATGAGTAAAGTATCTGGAACAAGGTGGTGATCTTCCTTGCTACCTTATACTAGGCAATGTTGAGTTGTTGGTACCACAAATCAAGATGACAGTATGAACAAGGCATACTGGCTTATCCTAAGGGTAGCTTATGACTAAACACCACATAATTTGGGCTATTTAGGCCACAGAGAAGAAGCCTGAGATAGCCAACATTCATATACCAGCAACAAATATATAAGCAAGTAAGATTTCAGAGAATGATGAGTGCTTTGAAGGAGACAGAAGAGTGCACAGGGGGACAGAGAACAATAGAAAGGATGTTTCTCACTGGGTGATCTTGGAGTTAAGACTTACATAAGGAGGAAACGGCCACATGAAGAGCTGGGGGTGAGCACTCAGGAGAGATTAGATTCCCTCTACCACACTTGGCACACTTGAGAAATAGCAAGAAGGTGGCTGTAGCTAGGACAGAGTAGACAAAGTGAAGACAGGGAAGTAGCTGGAGAAGCAGCCAAGGGTCTTATCTCACAGGGCCTGAAGGCCATGTAAGGGTTTTAGATTGCACTAGAAACCACTGAAAGGTTTTAAGTGGAAAATTTGCGCTTTGTGGTTATGCTTCCTGCTTTGTGACACTGAGTGGAAGTAGTAAGCAGATCAATTAGGAGGAGCTGGCAATGAGCTAGAAGAAAGATGGTGGTGGTCTGGCAGGCTAAAAAAATGGTCTGGAAAAAGATATCCACCTTATAATCCCTGGAGACTGTGAATATTACCTTATCTGGACAAATACTGTATAGATGTGATTGTTTTAGTATACCAAGATGGGGAGATTATTTGGATTATCCAGGTGGGCCCTAAATTCCATCTTAAGTGTCCTTAAAAGAGAGAAGCAGAGGGAAATTTGATACAGACAGGAGGAGGCAATATGGCTAGGGAGACAATGATTCAGTGATGTGACCACAAGTCAGGGAATTCTGGCCGTAACAAGAGAAGGATTCTCCCCTATGTGGATTTTTTTTTTTTTTAAAGAAAGAGGAAGAGAGAGTGAGAGAGAAAGAGAAACATAGATGTGAGAGCAGAACATCAATTAGCTGCCTCCTGCATCTCTCTTGCCGAGGATCGAGCCCGAAACCCCGGCATGTGCCCTGACCCGGTACTGAACCAACAGCAACACCCAACTGAGCCATACCAGCCAGGGCTATACAGACATTGCAATACTAAAATTTCTGGTCTCTGGAACTGAAAAAATAAGTTTCAGTTTTCAGCTATTAAGTTTGTGGTGATTTGTTATAGCAACCACAGAAAACACGTACCTGTGGCTCAGAGTAGGGCTTTAGCAGTAGAGAGAGCCAGAAGTGACTGGATTCGAGATCTGGTTTTGGAGATATCAACAGGACTAGCTGATGTATGTGGTGTTGGTATCACAGGAGAGGAGTCCAGGATGATTCCTAGTTGTTTTTCTCTGTGCAAGTGGGTAGCTGATGGCAACATTTACTGAAATAGGAAAGGGGTGGGGGGCAAGAATTAATAGGTGTTATGTGTTGGCCATAGTCGTCTGTGAGAAAATATCAGGTAGCATGTATCTCTGCTAAGTTCCTAACTCAGTTATCCATGGAGAGTCAAGCAGGCCCGTAGATTTGAGTGTGGCACCGAAAGGCGGCTAGCTTGGAAATATAAATCTGGGAGTTATTAGTTGTACTTAAAGCCATGGGACCAATTCGAAAGCCCAAGAAGAGAAAAGACTTGGTCCAGGGCCCGAGTCAGGGGACACACAATCTGTGTTTCAGTGGGACAGCAGAAGAGGGTCCAACCAAGGAAAGAAGCCAAAGAGGAAGGAAAATCACAGGCGGGTGTGAAGTCACGGAAGCCAAGGGGGTGGTGTTGTGGAAGATAAGATGTACATCTTCAGATGGTGCTCTAAGGGTGGAGAGGCAGAGAACCGACCAGTGCATTTGGCAACATGGTGGCCACCGCAAGTAGCCTTGAGAAGCGCATTCCAGTGCCTGGGTGGCAAGGAAAGCTCCGTCAGTCTACAGTAGGAAGAATGGCGAGTCTATAGTAGGAATAAGGATCCGCAGGGAATCTAGGCAACTTTTCTGAGGACCCTGGAGGCACAGAGGTAGTGAGCTTACAGCTGGCAGCGGCCTTGAGAAGCTGAAGGGGCTCCAGCTGGTTTTTAAGGCGGCAGATTCTGCAACACGCGTTTGTTTGTGACAAAAGGGGAGGCGGAACTGAAGGGGACGTACATAGTAGGAACAACTGGGGGCGGGGGTAGACCCCTGGGCAGACTGGAGGGCTGGGTCCGAGCACTTTTCCTCAAGCCTTTGGTCACCGAAAGCAGTGCGCGCCTCGAAAGCGACAGAGCGCCACGTCCCGCACGGCGCTCCCGCCACAGTCGGTTACCGGGAGGCAGTGCGCAGGCGCGCGCCGAGCGCCCGCCCCCGCGTTCCCCCNGTTCCCCCACCTCTTCCTCCCCGGCCGGACCCAGTTCCGCTCTGGGGCCACAGCCCGGCTGGGAGACGGGTTGCTCTTAAAGGAGAAACGACGGCGGCGCTCGGAAGGTGGGCCCCGTCCTTCCGCTGCTGTCCCGCCCGCGCGTGGCGGCGGCGCAGGCGCCGTGAGAAGCAGGTAAGGCCGGCCTGCCGGGCGCTCGGGGCGGCCCCCGGTTGGCCTTTGCAGTGCCCGGTCCGCGCTCTGTACGAGTTAAGTGCTGCGGCCTGAGATCGGGTGGGGCGCCCTGCAGACCCCCGGCCTTGCCACGGCGACCCGACTGTGCAGAGCGCCCCCAGCGCGCACGAAACATCCTTGCAGTTGAAGCTGTTCCCCACCCGGCTCCCCTCCTGGGAGGAGTTCCCCATGGAGGACTCACGCCCCTGCCCGCCGCTCCTGCGCTCGGTGGCCGGGTCCCCAACCTCCCACCCGCCGCAGCGAGTGCTGTGNCCCGCCGCAGCGAGTGCTGTGGAAACGGTTTGGTCCTGCCCATGCCCTGCCGAGACTTCGGAGGCCGGCCGGCGAGCGGCGGGTCAGGCTGGCCCACGCGCGTCCTCTGCCCTGCAGGCCCCAGGCCCATGTCTGCCTCCACGGCAGATGCGTCTCGCAGGCGGCGGGAGAAGCGGCGGCAGCTGGACGCGCGCCGCAGCAAGTGTCGCATCCGCCTGGGCGGCCACATGGAGCAGTGGTGCCTCCTCAAGGAGCGGCTGGGCTTCTCCCTGCACTCGCAGCTCGCTAAGTTCCTGCTGGACCGGTTAGGGACTGACGGGATCGGGGGTGGGCGTGGGGCACCCAGCGCAGCACCCAGCGTCCCCCACCCACCCCCACCCCAAGTGCTGGCCCACTGCTCCTTGCGGGCCCATTTCTCACTTCAGCTGTATGGCCTGTGTGATTTCTGGCCTCCTAGGGTTCTGCCCCACCCCTCTTTGCCCTCAGCGAATAGGGGGCCCTTAGAGCTTGCCCCCTTCAGTGTGTGAGTGCCCATAGCTGAAGCCACTTGTTCCACTTGGTCCCGACCTGACGTGCCTCTTGTCCCTCTGGCAGGTACACTTCTTCAGGCTGTGTGCTCTGTGCAGGTGGGTAGGCAGCAGCTGGGGTTAGGGGCTCAGGTGCCAGAGAGGGAAGAGGGGCAACAGCGAGTGGTGTGACCCAGGAACACTCTCCATAAGGGGATTGGATCAGAGGGAACCCTGGGGGAGTTTGGGAAGAGATAGGAGTTGGGGAGCCCAAGGCAGTTAGATGAGAGCAGACTGTGGGGAAGGGAGCAGTTTCTCAGGACCTTGCTGGTTGGGGCTCTGAAGAATGATAAACTGAACTAGGGACCAGGGTTGCCCAGGGGTGTTAGGAGGCAAGGCTGTCTGGGTATGGCTCTCAAGGATGAGAGTAGGGGGCAACCCAGCTCGCTCTGACTTGTCACCTTCACCCCTTTAGGTCCTAAGCCTTTGCCCCCCAAGGGTCTGCAGTATCTGGTGCTCCTATCTCATACCCACAGCCAAGAGTGCAGCCTGGTGCCTGGGCTGCGGGGGCCTGGGGGCCAAGATGGTGGGCTTGTGTGGGAGTGCTCAGCAGGCCACACCTTCTCCTGGGGCCCCTCTTCAGGCCCCACACCTCCAGCGGAACCCAAGCCAGCCCTCCTTCCAAGTACTTCCCAGAGAAGCTGGTGCCCAGAGGCCAGGGGTGGGCAGGAGCCTGCAGGTAGGCTGGGGAGAAGAGTCGTGGAGAATAGGAAGGGAAAAGGGTTTCCATCTCTGCAGCTCAGAACCCTGTTCTCTAAAAATGATCCTTTCTCGGTGGAAAAAAACTATGCTGTCAAGGAAATACATTTTTAGGTGTAAAAAGAAAAATACAGAATAAGGTGTATTTTGGTGGGAAAATAAAGGGAGAAAGTACTTTTGAACGAATGAAATCTCTGTGGGAGGGTAGGTGGAAACCAGATTGCCTGTGGGAAGAGCTAGGCCCTGGGGGACAGTATTGGAAAGGGGACTTTTCATAGTGTACCTTTTTATACTTGTATTTTTTTGGAACCATGTGAATGTCCTCTTTAAAATAAAATACCCTTTCCCACTGTAGTAGCCTCTGCCCTTTCCTCCTCTCCCTTCCTAAGAGTCCTCCCATGAATTTAGACCTTAGAGTCCACCTGCCCTCATCCCTCCAGCCAGAGTTTCTTCCCCTTTGACCCCACCTGTGCCAACAGGTTTGGAATCTGAGCATGAGGAGAGGACTCAGGAGGAGAGGTTGCCCAGGTGAGGTTGGATGAAAGAGGGGCAGGCTCAATTGGTGGATAGTAGGTGTGAGGGACCAGAACCTCAGGCTTGCCTTTTTTGCCCCTGCAGGGGAATGGGACCCCCACGGGAGTCCTTCCTGCCCCCAGGAGAAGACGAGGAGGAGGCTGAAGATGAAAGTGAAGAGGAGATGCTCAGTGATGCCAGCCCGTGGACCTACAGCTCCTCCTCAGACAAGCAAGTTGGGGCTGAGGGAGGGCACTGAGCAGAGCAGGAGGGTGGGGGCAGCTGGCCAGGGACACAGAGCTTTGCAGACTTGGTGGGGAGGGAGAAAGAACTGGAGGCTTGGAATTGGGTGGAGAGGTGTGAAGTTAGGCTTTAGGGGGAAATGAAGGCTGAAAGCAGGTGTGAGTGGAGGCCTGTATGGGGTTGTTCTGAGTTTGGGATCTTCCCGATTTAGGGGCTGGGGTGGGGCTGTGGCTGGCTGAGGGCCCAGAGAGATAATGTCATCCTCTTCATTTTTCAGCTGTGAGCCAGATGCCCCCAGACCACCCACTTTCCCTGTCACCCATGCACTTAAGGAGGGAGAAACACCTCTGGCCCCTGCAGCTGCCCCTGCTTCTCTTGCTGTACCACCCATATCAGCATCCTCATTGGGTTCTGGAGCTCCTGTGTCTGTGGAAGGCGGGGTACAGTCAGAGCTCGATCAGACCCCTCAAGTGGCCCAGCAAACTGAGCCCCTGGCCAGGTAACCTGATGACTAAGACAGAGGGCAGGGGTATCCTGGGACATGGCCCTCCCTCGAGGCCCTCTGCTCCCTCTTTGCTGCTCTTAGCCCTGGGAGTCAGGTCCAGTCTGCTTTGGCTGTAGCCTGGGATGAGGACAGTGCACAGATTGGCCCCAAGAGAATTCGGTAAGACTGGGGGAAGGTCTCTGAAAGGGGCTGAGACGAGGGAGGGAGGCCGAGGAAAGCCTGCAGGAGTCTTCATGCTTGTCCCGATTCTGCTCCCCAAGGAAAGCTGCCAAAAAGGAGCTGCTGCCTTGTGACTTCCCTGGCTGTGGAAGGATCTTCTCCAACCGGCAGTATTTGAATGTGAGGATGTGAGGGGCACAGGTTGGGTTCCGTGTGGCCTTGGTGGAAGAGAAGGGCTGAAGGGGAAGCTGAGGCATAGGAGCCTGTGGTGTGGGGGGATTGGGAGTCAGGAAAAGAAGGGTTGGGGTGGACATGCAGAGCGTACCTGTAGTAATAACGACTAAACCAGGTGACTGGTAGGGAAGGCAGAAAACCCAGCCTTGGACACACAACCACTGCCCACTACTGCTTATTGCATGGCCTCTGGGGGCCACAGGAGATGAAGGTAGCATCCTCAGGTTCTCTGGGTGATAGTGACTATTGTAAATACTTGACCTGTTGATCTTCACAGTGTCCCTAGGGAGTAGGTACTGATACTGTTCCCACTTTGCAAACGAAGAAAGTGAGGTACAAAAGGTTAAGCACTGCCCAGGGCTCCTCAGCTAGTGTGTAATCGTGTTGAGGTCCCTGAGTCTTGTCCCCATCTTCACTACAGGAGAAGTTTGAGGCATAAAGAGGGCAGGGCCCACACCCACACTCAGCCAGAGCCCACAGGGCAGGTCTGGGGGCTGAGGAGGGCCCACACAGGGCTGGTGAGGCATGGGTGTACCAGGAGGAAGTAGAGGGAGAGAGTCCCCAAGTGGCAGTGAAGCTCTGGGCTGTGGACATTCAGCAGGGCTGGTCAGATACACTGAGCCGGTTCAAGGAGGAAACAGAAGCCGCCCCCAGCAGCAGTTTAACTCAGAAAGTGGGCAAAAAATAAAAGAGAGAACTCATGGACATGCACAACAGTATGGTGATTGCAGGGATGGGGAGGGGCATGGGTGGAGGTGGAAGAGGGCATAGAGGGGATGAGTGGTAGTGGAAAAAATTAAATAAAATTAAATAAAGTCAGAGAAAAGAAAAGAAAGTGGGATTTTGGAGGGGTAAGCCCATGGGATTTAATGAGACAGGGTATGAACAGGGTCACATGAGAAGAGAACTATATCCCAGAAATACTTGGGAGTCAAGGTTGAAGAACACCCTACCCATAAGAGTGTTCCAGGTTGAGAGCACGTGTGTGTGTGTCCAAAGCAGATGTTGGAGAAAACCATATAATATATCTCCGTAGTGATCTGTTACTAAGAAGTAGGCTGTCTGGGTGACAGTGTTCTTGAATATTGACAGTGAAGAGGATAATCATGCGCACCACGACTTGTCCCATCCGCGGCAGGCAACACATTCATAGTTGGGGAACTGGGCACTAAAAGGGAAGTTGTGGCAAGGAGGTGAGATCATAGAAGTCAGGGGTACAGTAGGAGGGCACTTTGTGGTCAGGATGGGATGGCGATGCTCGTGTATAGGTGATGTGAGCCAGCGGTTCGGGGCAGAGGAGCCTGTCCGGTGGGTCGGCTCTGGGTCTCCCTGAGGAGACCATTCCCTTCCGTAGCACCACAAGAAGTACCAGCACATCCACCAGAAGTCCTTCTCCTGCCCAGAGCCAGCCTGTGGAAAGTCCTTCAACTTCAAGAAACACCTGAAGGAGCATGTGAAGCTGCATAGTGGTCAGTTGGAGGAATGCCTCCTTACCTCCCCTGTGGGGGCCCATCATTTCCCCCTTTACCTCCCCCTGTGGGGCCCTTCACCTCCCCCTGTAGGGTCCTTCACCTCCCCCTGTGGGGCCCGTCAACTATCTGCAGTTCTTGTCACACATGGTTCCTGTCACACCCTCTGTAGATGACTCACACACTCATCCTGCATTCCCTGTGTGTTGAGCACGTACCTGCTTGAGACTGTTGTAGGTGCTGGACGCCTCAGTGACCAGAGCAGGCAGTCCTCACCTCCTAAGATGTCCACACTCATGATACAGAGCACGGAAGAGATGGGAAAGCAGAGAAGTGAGGAGTGCATGGGGGAGGAGTTGCTCTGGTAGAAAGGGAAGGTGCTTTGAGCAAAGACATCATTGAAAGGAATGGAGACTTGTCCATCTCCACAGGCAGCATGTGGGAAGGATGAGAAGACTGACGGGTGGGGGCCCAAGACTACCAGGGGGATGGCTTGGCTCCGGGCAAATGAGATGGGCTCCATCTCAGGGTCTTGAGCAGTGAAGGGACACAGCTGACTATAAAAGGAGAGCTGCAGCTGCCATGTGGAGTAAGGGACTGCAGGAATGTGCAGTGTGCAGTGATTGTGGCCTGAAGGCTGATGAGAGTGTGATGGAGCCAGAAGGGCTGCTGCGGGAAGCACAAAGTAGCCACAGGTAGGATGGGTGGGGAGGAGTCAGGTGACTTGGATTCTAGCCTGAGCAACGGGGCAGTAGGTGATGTGGCTTCTTATAATAGAGACACATGCTTTAGGAAAGGGACCTTTTATTTGGGGCATGTTAAATAGGTATCCCAGAAGATGTGAATCAGGAGTTTGGAGGATATGGGGGGGGGGGG